GGCTAGGAGTGCAAAGCCCGCTGAGGCAGAGGAGATGGCTGAGGTCATGCAAATGCTACGTGACGACGGTGTCTCACAAAAGTCAGAGTTGTTCCTTATGGCATGTGACCTTTTCCAGAAGAGGGGGTGCCGCGAACAGTACAAGAATATCGATGACAGAGAAGACCGCCTCACTTACATCACCTAGACCTGGAAGAATGGCAGAAATGCCGGCAGCAAATAGCGTCCCCGATAAGCAGTCGCGTGTTTGAGTGAAGCCTACCTAGTTTGCTTTTTACAGCATTTGTTTTAGTTGTCGCTATGTAACGAACCTTCAGTTGGGCACTTTTTTATTTCCATTTGACCTCGTGTATGTCGGACATGGTTTGAGTACACATGCTGAATGTTTGATGTGGTTTCAATCTAATCTATCTATGGATTAGTGCGGCTTTATAATGTACAACTCTGTAACTTAACTTGTTCCATTTGCTGGTTTGCGGTGTTGTTCCAGCGGTTTGGGCATCATAGTGAGAACTGGTCAATGGTGCTTGTAAGGTTAGGATTTCCATTCGGAAAGTGTAGACTTCAGTTTGCTAACTTGTTATTAGCACTACTATTAGTTTGGTTCCTTTTTTTAAGAATCAGTTTGGTTGTATCTATGGTCTATCAACTTCATCAATGAGTAACTGAATCGGCTTTGCTGTATTGATAGTTAGATCATTGCTCAGTGGTCTGGTTAGTTTAGAACAAGTGTTCTGGTCAGCAGACTGCAAGGTAACAGCCCAGGGTTGTTGTTTAGAACTAGTGTTCAGTTATAGTGACCTTTGTTTAGCCTTTATTTATGCAGGTGAGAAGTTGTTTGGACGATTGTGCATTTACTATGATGTTGTTTTGTATCGGGGACTGATTGCTAAGGGATTGAAGAGGCATGTCATGAAGTGACAGCAGCTTAGTGAACATTCAAGTGATTCCAGCGCTGAGTTCTTGGGAGGACGTGAGATATGCTGCTGCTTTGTTGGCGGATACGCAGCTGTTGTAGCAGCTGATGTCCCGTACCACCTCCTTGCTTCGGTTGGCAAGAGTTGAACGGCGATCGATGGAGTGCATAAGGTTCTTTCTCACCCAAAAGGAGCATTACTAATTTCCGTATGGAATCTACTGCTTTTTATGAACTACACGAAATGATAATTAATAACCATGGCCTGCGAGACTATGGGGACTTTGATACTCAGGAGGCTTTAGGGATGTTTCTTTGGGCACTAGCAAAACAAGTCGGACAAATGGACATGGGAGAACGGTTTAAAAGGGTCTTGGGACGGTTAGTGAGAGGTTTGGTCAAGTGTTGGAATGTGTTGCTAACTTTGGGACGTGATTTGTACACCTAGGCACGTAGACATGTCAAAAGTGCATGATAGGCCGCACAAGTACACACCTTTCTTTGATGGCGCAATAGGCGCTATCGATGGGACACACATCAGGATCAGTGTTGATAGGGTGTTCCATGATGATTACATAAATAGGCATGGTTGGCCAAGCCAAAATGTGGTCGCAGTTTGTGACTTTGATGGGTGGGTCACATTTGTTGGTGTTGGCATGCATGGGGGCAAAGGCATGATATGAGGGTCCTTAGGGAAGCTTGGACCGAAACCAGTGTTCCCGCACCCACCGCCAAAGTTAGTTGTATTTGCTTTGTTTAAAATTGTACTCGATGTTATCATGGTAATGCGTGTGTTTGATTTGCTAATAAGTTGAAGGCCTTGGCATGTGCAGTAGGTACTATCTGGTGGACTCGGGTATGCAGTGAACATGGTTACTTGGGGCCACACAAAAGGCAGTACCATTTGAAAGAGTTTTCTCCTTTGTACTTGTATCACAGGAGATGTAGTAGTATTTTGAGGATTAGATTATATGTGTTATGTGACCATGTGAGGTTACAAACATTGTTTACTTTCTGCTCAGTATATGATGAAATCTGTACGTAAGCAAAAGAAGATGGTGCATATAGTTGATGCAATTTAACAATTTCATGAAAGTAGGATAAGTGAACCCATAATACCTTAAGCATATATTACGAAAGAAATTGAATATACTATTTTACAGGTCCCCCGTAAATCAAACTTAGTTTCATGTATTTTTAGATTATGGAGAAACATTGAAATGATTGAGCTCTGTTCATGCTTGTACTCTTGGGTGATACCTTCTCTAGGATCAAATTAAACTCTTCTCTGCCTTAGGTACCATTTGAAAGAGTTTGACGATAGGCGGTGAAAGCCCTAAAGAGGTATTCAATTTCCACCATGCTAGTTTGCGTAATGTGGTGGAAAGATTATTTGAGTGGTCAAGGCTAGGTGGCACATGTTGAAAGGAGTGCCACACTATCCTAAAGCGTAAGCAGGATAACATTATTAAGGCAGGTTTTGCCCTTCATAACTACTTAATAAAAGATGAAGTAATGAAGCCACTCCATCCACTAAGCCCACTGTCCAATGCAAAGGCTTAATGCAAGTTCAAATGATTCCATGGACAATGTGAGGATGTGGATTACCCGTGGACTTACACATTTGGGGTGCAGGTAAGCCAATGGTGCTAGTGGCAAGTTGATGATTACAGATTGCAAATGGACAAGAATTTGACAATTGTCTCTGTCTTGTTATAGGTAAGCCCAGTTTGGGAGCCCAGCAGTGCCGCCACCTCGGGGCATTGCTAGAAGGCGAGGAGGTGCTGTGGCTAGTAGTGGTAGAGGTAACAAAGCAGTATTAAGGGTATAGGGCGGTCATCTATAAGGACCTGTGTTTGAGCAAGGCAGCTGACCTTGCTGCCAGCTTAAGAATGGTGGCCTCCCTACCTATGTTGTGCCGTTCTCTTGTTTTGTAAATCGATCGATCAAGTGTTGTCCTTTGGCGGTTCCATCATGTAGCTTGTGTTATTCAAAGTGAATTTCATATGTGCCCTATTGGCCTTGTGTTAGATAAATTTTTTTTTTCACTGGGAACATGCTTCTCTTGTCTTTGTGTCGACAAATGTACTGACTATTGACACCTGGTTGTCTGTCTTGTATGAAATGTATGCCTCAAATGGTTGGCACAGTCTACTGTTCATTCGCAACAATTGTGTAGTGAAGCTTGGGTTGTTGGCGCCTGAATTCAACAAATGTGGCGCCAACCAGCAGGTTTGAATGGACATGTATGCCGACCAGCAGGTTTGAAATGTATGCCGAACAGCAGGTTTGAATGGACATGATGAAGTCAAACCAGCCCAACCCCAACCAGCCGAACAGCAGGATCAGTCCATTCCAGCCCCAACCAGCCCAGTCCCCACCAGCCGAACACGGTGCATAACAGAGGGTTACAACCAAGGTATGTAACATATATCTATCTACTCAATTCTTACCTTGGACTTACTAAATTCGAGCCAGTACACATATAACATATCATTACCATTTCCATGCTGGTTCCACACCCTCTCTATCCTGACGAAGCCAAATGATGCTACATATAAAATCTACAACTGTATATATGATAATCGTCCTAGTATACTAGTATACGACGCGCGCTAGGGCGCCCGCAATGTACTAGTTTTTTTTTTTAAACTACAATAGAGATGGGTTTGGCCGATGGCTGGCATATCCACGTTAGCATAATTATTTTACAGCGTTGGATCTCCTTTCTACGGTTCACGTTACACCAGCCGTCCATTTACTCTGCCGCTCCACGTGTTGAGCCGTAACAGGTTCGGGAGCAAAATATCTCCTTCGTCTCCTCCGGCCTCCGCTCCGCATCTTCTCCTCGTCTCCTCCGCTTCTCCCTCTCGCCTCCTCGTCTCCTCTGCTTCTTCCACCCCCAACGGCGCCGGCGACCCCCTTCCTTGCTCCCCGCACGGGCGGGAGCGACGGCCCCCTCGCCCGCGTCCCCCGCAACGGTGCCGGCTAGGGCTGCGCGGCGGAGGTAGCAAGCCCCCCGGCGGCCGGCGCCACACGACGCAGCGCGGCGGGGGCGGACCCCGCCGGTGGCCGTGGCCGCGTCCGCTCGCCGGTTTGTTCCCCCTCCCCTCCCCTTCGCTCTCTCTCCCTCTGTCCTTACGATATGTAGGTGGCGCCCGTCGGTGTCGTGATGGTCCTATTGGAGAAGACGAGGCCGCGAAGCTCTTAGAGGGAATCGACGGTGCGAGACTCTGAGCTCGTTGTGGATCATGGACGGGGTGAGGCGGTGGCGCTTGGGGGTGCCTGCGGGCTGCTGCTGCTGTGGCCATGGGTGAGCTTCGACGTGCGTGGGCCTCCGGGCTCCGGCCGCGGGGCGCGCGAGCTCTGCAGCACGCAGGCTCCTCCGAGTGCGAGCGCTAGCCGCCGGCGCGAGCTGTGCAACGCACGGGCTTTTCTGGGAGCGAGCACCGGCCGTGCGGGGACGCAGCCGCCGGGCACGAGCTCCACAGCGGGGGGCGCACAAATGCATGACGCAGCCGCCGGGCGCAGAGCTCTGCTAGTCTGCCACTGGACAGTGAAGGATGTAATCTTAGCTGTGGTGTTAGTTTGGTCAGTTTGAGTATTTAGTTTCAGGTATTTCAGTTTAGTCTGTTATCATGTCATGTCAGCCAACGTCGTGTAATCGTGTCTTGTGCTCGAGTCGAGTCCTATACCTATAGTCTTCAGGGTAGTGGAGTCAAGTGCTCATGTTAGTGGATGGACTCCGACGGCGGCGGCAGGTCCCTTGTTCTTCAGGCGATCGCGCAAGAGGATCTGCGCAAGCAGAAGATGGCCAGGTATATGGTTTCTGGCTTCTGCAAGTTGCCCAGCACGAACCAGTAATTAGATTGTTAGGTGATAGGGAATAATGGATGAGATGACCGCTTGAATGAACACGCTATATGACTGACGACCTCGGACCCATATATTGACCGATCCATCCTATAACAGTCCTCTAACACACTGGAACTGATCCTGCCATTCTACCTAGCATACCATGGCTTCCAATAGAACCACTCACAGGAAGCTGAACATAGGGACATTATTATCCATCGTTGCCACCATGCTGGATCGCCGAGCTGCCATGCTCGTGTTGTTCAGCTGCTTCTTGTTCCTCACCACGCATGCACAGCAGCAGCCCCAGCCAGCCGCCAGTGGCAACAGAAAGAGTACGTCCGAGCTGCATACCGCACGAGACGGACACCCTGCTGGCATTCAAGCAAGGTGTGACTTGGGACCCTGCAGGCCGCCTCAACTCGTGGCAGCGAGACGGTGATCATGGCGAGCAGGACTGCTGCCGGTGGAGAGGCGTCAGATGCAGCAACCGAACTGGCCGATCAACCAGATTTGGTCGGCCAGGTAAGTCCTTTGCTTGCTCTGGATCATCTAGAGCATCTTGACCTCAGCGAGAACGAACTAGAGGGGCCAACTGGTCATATTCCTAAGTTCTTGGGCTCTCTCAAGTATCTCAACCTCTCTGGCATACTACTCTCAAGAGCTTCAACTAAATTTAGCCAATGCATGCATGAATCAAAGTGATGCAGAAGTTGTTACATAATGTTGCTGGTTTTCTTTTTGGAATGAAATGTGATATCCACACCCTTTGCTGTAAGAGTTGTAATATCACTACCTTATGATGACATGGCCAAAATACTAATAATAATTCGGGCTTGTGCTTATCTTGATCACAGCGTCCCTGTTTTGGTGTCGGATTCTGCCTACTTGCTTACTCGTGTTGTGGTACAATGTTTCCATGTTCGTCATCCACATCAAGGAAGGCTCACGTCTCCTCCATGACCATTGTTTCCATGCTCGTCGTCAACCGTTAATTGCTGAAGTGAGAAAGAGGTGACTGCACTTATGTTCAGTGTAGAATTAGCACACAACTTACAGACACACGTAATATCCACATCCATATTAAATGTCATGGTTGATTTCTCTGATTTTACATTTGGTCGACATCTCTTCCAGATGGAGATGGGTCCCACCTCTCTTCCAGATGGACGGCTCCCGTGTGGACCCACTCTGACTTTGATCCAGCAGTTCAAAATCAGTTCCTGTGTGGTGTTGCTTAGGTAGATGGATTGCACTGGTTGTTCTAAAAAAAAATAGATGGATTGCACTGGCATTCAGAAGTTTCTTTGCTGGCAAAACATTGTGTTAGTTCGGATATTGTATGATTGAGCAGCTGATCTCCTCTCCTGTGTCCTGCCGGTTTCTTTTTTAAAAAAACAGTTGCATACTCAAAGTACACTATAAGTAACATTCACTTAGAAACATTGAACAGGCAAGGGGAGCAAATTTCTCAGAAATTGAAGAGCCCAATATATGAGCACAGTTTCCCTGGTGGAGTACACTGCTACAGCAGGAGTTCCACTGCCTACTTGCCTAGTGACGAACATGCATGGTATCTTGTAATCTTGACGACGCACGGGAGAGGTGCCACTAAAATAGGGTGCATAATGACTTTGAGATGCAGTAGTACTCCAGACACATTTGATATTACTTTATGACTAGACGTAAAAATTAAAGTTATAGTCAGCAGCATGATTGTTCACTACCGGAAACAGTAGCTTTGCCATGTGTCGGTGAAGCCTAAAAAACACTCGGCAAAGGCTTTGCCGAGTGTTACACTCGGTGGCGACAGAATATCGTCGGCAGTCCTCCGAGGGGTATCCCACGAAGGTAGATTGATCGGCAGAGATGCGTGTAATCGAGAACAAGAAGGCAACAGAGACACACGAGTTAGACAGGTTCGGGCCGTCAGCACGACGTAATACCCTACTCCTGTGTTCTGTTGGATTGTATTGGATATCGTATAATATTGCGTGAGTTTGGAGGGGGTCCCTGCCCGCCTTATATAGTCCGGGGGGCAGGATTACAAGTCGGTTAGATCTAGGAGATAACTGAAAGGTAATAACATATTACAGGAATCATGGGATCATACGTATCCTAACAGATGTCGTAGTATCTTCAGGATATCTTCCCGGTGTCTTGCGGGACATGCCGAGCAGCGCCGTGCCCTTCAAGGCTTCGTCTTGTGGGCTAGGCTGCCCCTGGCGGCGTAGCCCATGTGGTCTACCATGGGTATCCGGGGTCGTACCCCCCTGTTGACACAAAATTTTCATCCCGTGCCGAGGACACATGTAGCAAGCCAGAAGGGTCTGCTCAATGGAGCTGTAGATCCGCCTAGCTTCAGCGCAAGGATGGTCGATCCTGCGCACTCCTCCCGAGACATGCTAGTCAATTTGACCCTGTAATTGATAAGGAGAGAAAGTTTATCAGTAATTAAGGGCGGAACGTTCCGTTGTTGCTAAACAGTCCCGAATGTGCAGCTCTGAGAGCCGATATGAAAGGAGATCGACTAAATAGTCGATTCCAGCATATTCATGAGAATAAATCGGTTAAAGCTCATTGGGTTGTATAAGAAGAATCGGTTATCATCCAAGATAAATGTTGTTATTTGAACAAATATTAATCAATAGCAATAAGATGTCAACAATAATTAGTTTATGCTAAGCCAATGATTACAAGTAACCGAACCTCTTTTTTATATAAAAAAACAATTCAACACCACTTAATCGTTTAATAAAGATAAATCTAATGAACATGTTATATCTCATCTATCGCTATGACTAGTGGGGCATGAGGCAGAATCATGCAGACCGTAGAAATAACAATAGACTCGATGACCCTAACTCATTACTAATATCAGTGGGGCATGAGGCAGAATCATGCAGACCGTAACACAATAATAAGATCATGGGGCTAACACATCTTTCAACCTATCTCTACTTCAACGGTCTCATGATGCGAACTGTTCGTGAAAGCACTTGATATCAGCTAAAATAGCCAATTCAGGCATAGCGCACAGTTAAAGTCATGCCCTATCAGGAATAGATCTACCAAATAACGATCCCCACTCCACGGTGCTAACAGTGGGGTGTGAGGCAGAATCACACAGGCCGTGATAACGGGCCATGGAATGGTTTCCGCTAGCCAATAAATCTACTCAAGACGCAACATGCTTTAACCGCACACTATGCACGATCAAGATTGATGTAAAACTCGTCGTTTAATGTGTAGATTAGATCAGTTTTAGATTAACAAACGATGGACTAAATAAGATATAAGGCCGATCTAGAACAATCCCAATCGGGCAGAATGATATTGCTGTAATTTACATAAATAATGAAAGCAATAAGCAATATCGGTAACTTAATGAATCTACCAAAGACTGACATTCTAAGGTAGAGCCGATAACTTGACCTTGATCTAGTTCATGCAGTGGGGGTCGACCGGATCAATGCAGCCGTATGAATAGAGGTATAAGCCATAACGGTACTTACAACAAGCAGTGGAGGTCGACCGGATCGATGCAGCCATACTTGCTGAAGAACTCGCCGAGATCTACTCTACTCCTACTCCTAAGGGGTGGCCAGAGCTGAAAAAGTAAATGACTTGTATATTGGATTGATTGTGTCTCTTACAACAGCCGGGGTTTGATATTTATACCCGGGACCTATGCATGACTCCTATCTAAGCACGACTCATCATAATCTTTGGCCCTAAGAGAAAACATTCCTAATTTAAGATAACTTGGACTCTAATCTTTCCCTTTTTGTAGAGTCCAACGTGCTTTGTCCTGGCGCTGATCGTAGCCTTTCTCCTTATCTGCTAGCGTTACCTGAAGAAAGCTGATTCTGGTGCTGCATTCGAATCAGCTAATTCCGATCTGCACGCAATTGCTTCCTTGATAACACGATCTTGGGGGCTTTTAAATCCCTGCGAGACTCCTTCCAAATTTTGGTGTAAACACCCCACACTCGGCAAACAGCACACGACGTACATAGTGCAAGCAAAAGTTTCTTTGCCGAGTGTTTTTTATCAGGCACTCGAAAAAGACTTTGCCAAGTGCTAAAACCGACGTTCGGCAAAAAAAAGCAATGTGACGGCGTAGAGACGGTCACGGCGTGTTTACCGAGTGTCTAACGGCCTAGGCACTTGGCAAACATGCCCTTGTTTGCCGAGTGCCCAGGACTTGACACTCGGCAAACATGGCTTCTTTGCCGAGTGCCGAGTGACACATCCCAAACACTCGGCAAAGATCGGCCAGTCTAGGCCTAGATTTTGGCCTCTTTGCCGAGGGTCACCATGACACTCAACAAAGATGGTCATTTTAGGCCCAGAACGCACAGATTTTTGCCACGTGGCCTCTTTGCCGAGTGTATTAGCATGGCACTCGGCAAATAGCCCTTTTTGCCGAGTGTAACACTCGGCAAAGATACCATATATATCCAGTTTATTTGGTTCGGTCACATATAACGTACCACACAAGTAGGTTCATTCGCAATCACAAATGCAAAAAAAATCAGATTCACAAGTTTGTTCACAGTCGCTCTCCAGGGTCATCAGAAATGCAAATAAATGTAGTCACTGTGACCACGGTCGGTCATAAGGCTCATTCGATGCCGTAGATTGATTCTGTACAAAGGAGAAGAGATAAATCATTCACAGTGATTGAGAATGAAACATACAAATATTAGAAATAAACTAGCAACTAAAGATAGTGATTAATTCTGCCAAAACTAAAAGTAGCTAAGTTACAGTGATTGAGAATGAAACAGTGATTACAAGGTCTAGAAACAGTATTTGGAGCAGGTTGAGGAGGAGGGACTGGCATCGATGGTGGAGGTTGACCGATTACAGCGTAAACACCCATCATCATTTCAAACATCTGTAGCCACTCTGCCTCCATCCTCTGCCGCTCTACCTCCATCCTCGCCTCTAGCTTCTCCCGGAGCCTCGTTTCTTGTTACAACTGAGCCTATAATATTTCATTCCAATGTTACAATGCAATGCAAAAGTTTGTAAAAATCAATAAACGATGAACAAAACAGAAATAACCAGGAGTGTGTCCATCTAGAACCATGTAGAGTCCGTCCGTGGATGTATCACTAGGCTAGAACTCGTGCTCCGTGCTCGAAGTTGGGAGAGAGTGAGAGTACCGGCCATGTCGATTGTGCCGTCGCCAATCTAGAATCGGCCATGCTTCTTGCCTCCTCCTGCCCTCATGACCACTTCTCCGTCAAGGTCATGTGCGCTTGGATCGTACTCTGGGGATAGAAGGGGCCGCCATACCTGTGTTGGTGCTCATCGCCGGTGATGGGTCCGACTAGGAACTGGCAAAGAGACGCGTTGAAGAGCGGCGGGGGTGGCGCAGGGGGCCGGAGGCAAGGGGTGGCGTCGATGGGGGCTGGGGGACGGGGGCAGGGGTCGGCGTCGATGATGGCTGAGGGCAGTGGGTGGCACAGAGGGCAGGGGGCGGGCGCGAGAGGCTGGCGGTGGGAGGCCGGCGGCGCGGTGCGGCGCGGCGCGGGCACGGGAGGTGTGTGTGTGTGTGCGGGTGAGTTTGCGTATGTGCGTGTGTGCGGGTGAGGGAGCGCCAGGCTGGAAATGAAGAAGGTTTGTCGAGTGTCGGATCGGGCTTTGTCGAGTGTCGGATCGGGGCGAGTGTCAAATGGGGCACTCGGCAAACC